GGTTTGATCATGTGAAAATTCGCCATGGAAACTGTAAAGTATTCACCGGTTATGTAATCTCAAAGTAAGTACAGGGTGATCAGCGAGCGGCCATACCTCATAAGATATTGGTCGTATAGATTTGAGAAAAAAAAATCATGATAAAAGTAGCGAGTTTGTCAATCGTCCGCTAGAGGTCGTAACAATCAACACCAAGTAGAAAAATGGGATTTTTATAGAATTTTGTTCAATAAAAGTATATCTATGATATCATTTTCATATTAACTGACCATTACCCTAAATTTTTTGTCTGAAACGTTTTGTTCTATCTATCAAAATAAAGCGGTGGGGGAAGTTCTATTGTTTTTTTGAACAAACCAAGATTTCTCCCGTTTATTTTGACCGATTTTAGCAACCCTAGGCTCATATTATGAAAGAGCATAATTTGCCCTACAAAACGCTTATTTGGTTTTGAATTTTTGACTTTTGCTGTCGTCGCTAGATGGCGTCAACCGAAATGTTAGCAAATTCTTGAGGTTATTTAAAAAAAAAATGTAATGGTATATTAATTCTTATATGTTTTGAAAGAGGATAAATTTCTCTATAATTTAATGAAAATAATTTATTACCTACCTTTTTTGAACCGTTGATATTGACTAAAATATAATTTTATTACATTTAAAAATGGCACGCCACTGTTTTTTATCAAAATGAAAATCAGTTTTGTAATCTCTTATTATTTGCTAACAAAAAGAACCTCTTGACTTTTTGTCGTTAGACAAACGGTTTTGGATTAAAAAATAAAATAGGTTTACATAGTGGTTCAAATTTATTTTATTTTTTCAATCCAAAACCGTTTGTCTAACGACAAAAAGTCAAGAGGTTCTTTTTGTTAGCAAATAATAAGAGATTACACAACTGATTTTCATTTTGATAAAAAACAGTGGCGTTCCATTTTTAAATGAAATTAAATCATATTTTAGTCAATATCAACGGTTCAAAAAAAGGTAGACGATAAATTATTTTCATTAAATTATAGGGAAATGTATCCTCTTTTAAATCGTATAAAAAGTAATATACCATTACATTTGTTTTTTTCAAATAACCTCAAGAATTTGCTAACATTTCAGTTAACGCCATCTAGCGGCGACAGCAAGGGTCAAAAATTCAAAACCAAATGAGCGTTTTGTAGGGCAAATTATGCTCTTTCATATGAGCCTAAGTTTGCTAAAATCGATCATAATAAAAGGGAGAAATCTTGGTTTGTTTAAAAAAACAATTGAACTTCTCCCACCGCTTCATTTTGATAGATAGAACAGAACGTTCTAGACAAAAAATACAGGGAAATGGTCAGTGAATATGAAAATGATATCATCGATATACTTTCATTGAACAAGATTCTATAAAAATTCCATTTTTCTACTTGGTGTTGGTTGTTACGCCCTCTACCGGATGTTTGACGAACTCGAAAATAATTTCCAGCAATTTCTCTTGGCGACTTTCATCATGATTTTTTTTTCTCAAACCTATACGACCAATATCTAATGAGATATGGCCGCTCGCTACCGTTAACTGATCACCCTGTACATAAAATTTTGAACTTTTTGAAACAAGAATTGCGAGACATTGCATTGTATAATGGTGACTTTTCAAGAATCACCCTGTAATGTGTTAAAACGGCAATCTTGAACTATTATTGTTTTGTTTGACAAAAACATCATTACTTTGAAGACTAAAATATCCTTGCAGTATTTTGAATAACATTTCAGAAATGTATCCAACAGTTTTCAATATATTATCTCTAATTTCTTATTTATATATTTATACTATGCTCAAATAAATAAATAATTGACTAAAAATTCTTTACTCCACAAGATTTTAGTCTGAAGCATTCTCAAACAAATGCACAATCATAAATCATATATATTTATATTCATATCAACTCATAACATTGATATACCAACCACACACAGTATGATTTAAAAATAGATGACATTTCAGGGACTCTTCTGTAGGAGATGCAAATATTCAGAAAAAATTCAAAAAGAATTTTTCAATAGAATAAACTAGGAGATGCATAGGTTTTGCAGAGCAGATATTTTTTCTGATATTTTTGCATCTCAGTTTCCATTAAAACTGGAATAACTTGCATACAAATTCATTAAAATTGAAATGCACGTATTTAATGTGAATAAATATGCCCGAGGAACATTTCACTAGTAAGTATATTATTATAAATATTCTGAATCATTTTTGAAATGACAAGTTCAACTTTAACATGTCTCCATCCAGATGACTAACAGCCATTGATTATTTATTGCACAAATTTCATTAGCATTTCATGCAAGGTTATCTATCAAATTTCGACAGTCAGTAAAGAAAATATATAGTAGAAAATATTTTTGTCCTTTTTGTCTATGCGAATCTGAAATTATTTCTACATATTAAAATATTTTATTTCTTCACACTCATCTCTGTAAACTTTCTGAACCAGAGCGTCCGAAAATAATTCGGAAAATGACAGATGAAACTGAACACGATTTTCATTTCAGTCGAGAACACTCTGTATTATTATTTTGTTCAAAAAATCATCAGTGTTCAGAACCGAAGTCAGAGAAATTGTTAACAAGTACTCGGGGTTGTGTGGTAAAGTATGTCATTTTAGCTGTCAAAAGATAATCAAACACTATGTATATTATCTAAAAATTACCGAAATAGATAATTATATAAACTTGTGACAACTAAATTGACAGGCATTGAATTAGATCAACTATAAAAAAAGAAAAATATAAAAGAGTCTTGTGTGAGTCAGAAAAACGACATCAAATCAATAGGAGAATGAATCATTCAATATGAGTAATCTAGTGAATAACTATACAGGGTAAGTTATCAGTGTATTGTCGGAATCATTAATTCTTATTCAAGATAAAAGTACAACCAATTTAGGAAATTGATTGACTAAGGTCAACGTGTAGAATGTTCAATAAAATAGGTATACAGTATGTCCCACTTACCATGCTCACCATGGGTATCTTTTTAACGGTGATGCGAGGTCGGTTAAATGACACCAAATGTGGAGTTTGTCAAGGCCAACTATAATGTGAAAAATTATTTTGATAAATTCTATTCGTTTTTGTTTTATACGCAAAAAACAGATTTTGATCATTTTCATGTCTCCTCCGTAACTTCTTTATTTATGAAAATATTCAAATAGGAATTTCACATTCTCATGGCAGTTTTTTAAAGTGATTTCGAAAAAAATATGAAATTTATACAAACTCTTCTAGAATTTGTGTTGATAACAACGGAGTTATCGTCATTTATACAAAAACAAAAAATTATTTGGAAGCCGCCATCTTGAATTTATAAATTTAAACAAAAAAATCATGATCTCCGACCTCAAAAACCCCCACTTACCAATTTTGAATGGAATCGGACCGAATCTTGTCCACAATACATTATGGAATTTTTGTTGAAATTAAAAAAAAATGGCTGCTCCAAGATGGCGGACAAGATTTGGTCCGATGCTATTCAAAATTGGTAAGTGGGGGTTTTTGAGGTCGGAGATCATGATTTTTTTGTTAAAATTTATGAATTCAAGATGGCGGCTTCCAAATATTTTTTTGTTTTTGTGTAAATGACGATAACTCCGTTGTTATCAACACAAAACTATTACTGCGACATATCATCTGTAAGAGAAAAAAAAGTTATTTGTAACTAAGTCATAGTGAGCTATGACCTACATTTGAAAAACTAAAGTTGGTACTGATATCTCAAATTCTAGAAGAGTTTGTATGAATTTCATATTTTTTTCGAAATCACTTTGAAAAACTGCCATGAGAATGTGAAATTCCTATTTGAATATTTTCATGAATAAAGAAGTTACGGAAGAGACATGAAAATGATCAAAATCTGTTTTTTGCGTATAAAACAAAAACGAATAGATTTTATTAAAATATTTTTTCACATTATAGTTGGCCTTGACAAACTCCACATTTGGTGTCATTTAACCGACCTCGTATCTCTCACCGTTGAAAAGATACCCATAGTGAGCATGGTAAGTGGGACACACTGTATAAGGTGGTCCATTTGAAAACTTCAACTTTGGTGTGTAATGTTTTCTTAATCACCTTGAAGAAGGAAATATAATAATGATCACTACACCTATAAGCACCTAGCTGCAGATTTTGATAAAAGCAAATTTAGTTTTCAAACAGTTATGGCATAACATTTTCATGCCAAATTTCCCGCGAGTTTGAATATTTTTCTTAGTTACGATTTTTTAGGAAAACTTTCATACCTCGAAAAATGACATCCATGACAGCCTGCTGCTGGTAACGTCACTTCGTTTTATTTTCCATTAAACTGAATTGAATCCAGTATTCAATGAGCAGCCAAAATCCAAAAACGAAAACATAATGTTTTCAATCATCAACAGCGATATTCCAAACAATCAAAAATTGAAATGAGTGGAATAATCTATAACTGATTTTGTTTTTTTCGGATGATCTTGAAAAACGAAGGTACCACTTGTTCAACTAAATTTAGGTACTCTCATCTTCAATAGCATGCTGTTCAACATTATATCCATGTTAATTTAACGTTATTTTTATGTAATTTTCATGGTATTAACGAAATTTGCACGTAATTTTTACGTTTTGTTCGATAAAATATTGCTGACTCACCGTGTACAGTAAAAATTTGGTACCTACACCGAAAATAAATGAATCCCAGCGTCAAAAATAAGATTCTTTGTGAATCTATTGAAAACCCCGGGTTCAAAGATACAGAAAAAAAATTTCAACAATAAAAAAAAAATCCATTGGTGCCGTTTTTCTGTCATCCACGAGACTTTGTGAAAACCGTGTTTGTATATATCACAAGGAGAACTACACATAAAAAAAAATAGTACCAAAGTCGTATAAACCGATCATCATATAAATCAACAAAAATAAAATCACATCGAAATCAGCCCCAGACGCAGAAGGAATAAGGAAAAAAAAAACACCTTTTTCGTTGTCTTATTTGGGGGAATCTTCCCCGCTCCACTCTTCTAATTCTTCTTGGAGTCTGAGCTCCAGTTCGCGCATATCGTTGACGATGTCCGCCTCGTACATGGCGTCTTCGGTGGGGGCGATGGGGGCATTTCCGTTGTTGTAGTGGGTGAGAGAATGGACGATTTTGTTCTGATCGAAAAATCATATAAGATTTACACAGTATTCTTAGAAACACAAAAGACATTTCAACATTCACAATATTTTGCTTGAAGAAACTAATGTTTTTGATCAGCGTCTCGGAGTAGGCATGAATGTAATAGTTTTATACAGGGTATGTCAGGACGAGCTTAAACTGCCTTTATATCGAGGATCAGTCGGGAGGATTCCATGAATATGTGCAGGCTTCAGAATACGCTATCATCATATAAAATATTTTTGACAATGCAATGTTGCCGCTTCTACTAGAAAGTAGTAGCAACATTGATATTTCAAATGGAACACCCTGTATTTTATCGCATTTTTAGATTCTTCCTGAAGAACTGATTTCATCGATGTATCACACTTGGGGTCTAGTGAAAATGATTACAGAAATATAGGGTGTTCAAAAAAATCGAGATTTTTCAACTTTATGATTTTTTTGTGTCAAAACTATTCATTATCGGTCAAAACGGCTCACATATCCCTATCTCAACCTTTGATTCACTATTTACTGATATTTAATCGGAACAGATACAGGGTGGTTCAAGATTCAGAATTGTGATCACCCTGTATCTGTTACGATCAAATATCAGTAAATAGTAAAACAAAAGTTGAGATAGGGACACGTGAGCCGTTTTGACCGATAATGAATAGTTTCGACACAAAAAAAATCCTCAAGTTGAAAAATCTCGATTTTGAACACCCTATATCTCTGTAAACATTCCCGCTGGATCCCAAGTGTGATAGAGTGATGAAATCAGCTTTTCAGGGAGAATCTGAAAATTAATTAAAATACAGGGTGTTCTATTCAAAATAAGGAAGTTGATATCATTTCCGGAATAACTGAAAAAGTGGCAACATTGGCGATAACATTTTCAAATCCGACACGTTCGGAAATCACCCTGTACATAAATTCAAACCAACCTAACGAACGGTTACCGAGATATTTGCTTGGTTCCATACATCATCCCAACCCTGTATAAAGAAAAATATAAGGAATATACTGAATAAACACTCACTAGAAAGTAGAAGCAACATTGATATTTCAAATGGAACACCCTGTATTTTATCGCATTTTTAGATTCTCCCTGAAGAGCTGATTTCATCGATGTATCAAGGGAGAATTTGAAAATTCATTAAAATACAGTGTTCTATTCAAAATAAGAAAGTTGATATCATTTCCGGAATAACTGAAAAAGTGGCAACATTGGCGATAACATTTTCAAATCCGACACGTTTGAAAATCACCCTGTACATAAATTCAAAAAAATCTAACGAACGATTACCGAGATATTTGCTTGGTTCCATATATCATCCCAACCCTGTATAAAGAAAAATATAAGGAATATACTGAATAAACACTCACTAGAAAGTAGTAGCAACATTGATATTTCAAATGGAACACCCTGTATTTTCGCGTTTTCAGATTCTCCCTGAAGAGCTGATTTCATCGATGTATCCAGGGAGAATCTAAGAAATTCATCAAAATACAGTGTTCTATTCAAAATGAGAAAGTTGATAATATTTCCGGAATAACTGAGAAAGTAGCAACATTAACGATAAAATTTTCAAATCCGACACGTTTCGAAATTACCCTGTACATAAATTCAAAAAAAATTAACAAACGGTTACCGAGGTATTTGCTTGGTTCCATACTCCATCCCAACCCTGTATAAAGAAAAATATAAGGAATATTATATTGAATAAATACTCACCAGACACGCTTCTTTCTGTTTCTCCTGTATACCCTGCTCGATCAGCTGCAGCTCTTGCGTCAACCGTTCGCCGTCGCTCAAGTTGGCCACGCCCTGCGCCGCCATCTTGAGATCGTTCAGCTGCTTCTCCAAGTTGCGCAGCTGTAGCTTGACGCGCTGCGATTCGGCGAACAGCTCCTTGGAGGGATCAGCCAACCTGGCAGCTGGGTGGAAGAGCAGCTGCTGCGAACCTGGGAGAGTACCAATTTACCACGTTATTTCCATGTTATTTCGATGTTACTTCAACGTTTTTTTGATGTTACTTTCACGTTATTTCAACGTTGTTTCCACATTATTTCAACTTCATTTCAACGTTATTTCAATATTATTCCAACATTATTCCAACGTTAATTCAAAGTCAACATTCGTGTTCTTGCCTATTCTCAAAACACAACATGAATTTCAGCATTCAAATCATATTTCTTGTAGAAGTCAAGTTTTCTTTAGGAATTTCTTGAAAATTTCATTGTTTCAGGAGTGTTTTCCTACATATTCCGTGTTGAATTATTCGTTCATGGTGAAACTTTAAATCTTCAAATGATGACTCGTCGGTCTGATATGGGAAATAATTTCAACAAGAAAGTGAAAAATTCAAAGTAATTTCCAGGATATGTTCAAATATGAGTAAGTTTCTTTCTGATGCGTTCGTATCCAATTATATTTCATTTCTCTAGAATTTTTCGGATTTTTTCTCAACTGATTTGCCAGAAAATCTTCTGCGTTTAAAAATGTCAGTATAAGGCAGCCAGAGAGAACAATTCAATTGATTGTCAGTGACACAGTTGTGAAAAAGAGTTCGGGTCGAAGCTGAGTAGGGTGTCTATGCCGATACATTTTTCACAACACTTTACGTTATTTCAATGTTATTTTGATGTTTATTAACGTTATTTCAATTTTTTTACATTGATTCAACATTATTTCAACGTTATTTTCACGATTTAACATGAACCTTGACATCGGTGCAGAGAAGATATCGGTTTTTTCAGTGTACGACGTGTACAGGACTGTAAATTCATACCGTATGGTAAAAATCCTTCAGTGCCGTGGGGTCCCATAACGGGATGACCTGCAGGTATGGGAGGTTGATGATAGTGACCGTTGTTGTTAAAAAACCATGAAGCTACAGGACTTGCAGATGATACTGGTCTCCTCATCTGAAACACGAAATGGGAAAGTTTTTTACAATTTTGGCCTAGGATTTTCACATTTTTTTCTAAGAATAGTTGATATCCATATCAACAATATCTGGATAGTTTACTTACCATCTGGGCATCTCTGAACGCGTTAGGCTGATTCAACCCATTATCTTTTGCCATCCTCGAGATTGGTCCGTATTTACTGATAGCTGGACTGTCGTACGGTACATAATCGTCATCTGCGGCCAAAATGGAATCGGACCTATGCAAAGAAAGAAAGTGTTCTTTTTTCTATACATAATAAACGAAAGGAGGCCAGGAGCAGATCCTTGTGGAACATCAATGAATGTAGATTACAAGAGTTCTGGTTTGCAATGGATGATAATTTGTTTGGAGTTTTGCCTAATTATAACAGAACTGTTTGATAATTCTTAGAGACCATTCCAGAGAAAATAAAAATTGATACTACAGCAGCGTACGTTTTTTTATTACACTAAAATATTGCCAGGTTCAAAGGAAAACGGAATATTTTGTATATCATGATTCAAGAACGTACAATTATTTTTTAAAGGGGGCAAAAACGAGTTTGCATTTTGAAATTACTTCCAAGTCATTAGGAAGAATATTGAAATTACGACTCCAGGCTCCAGGAACGTACCCAATTATTATTCGAAAAGTCCAAAAATAATAAATATCGTTTTCATAACTTCTTCCAGAAAATAAAAATTGTCACTTCAAGGGCGTGTCAAAATATTTCCTACAGGGCTAAAAAATTGATGATGCCTCAATTTAATAATTTTTCGGGAAACAACAGGAAGAAAATAGAATTTGCGACTTCAGAGGCGTACCAAAATATTTTCTGGAAGGTCAACATTGAAGAGTCGTGAATTCGTTATTTCCTCAATACCAACAGAGAGAATAAAAATAATGATTAATTCAGGGGCGTTACAAATTATTTTCGTCAGGGGTCAAATATAAAAAATTCTCAATTTCATAATTATTCCTTTCATACCAACCGAGAGAAAATGAAAATTGCGACTTCAAGGGTGTACCAAATGACTTTCTGAAAGGGTCAAAATTGAAAAATATCGTAACTTCATGACTTTTTCTATACCAACGAAGAGGGAATAAAATTTAGACTTCAAGGGCGTACCAAATTATTTTCTGCAGGGCTCAAAAATTGATAATCCCTCAATTTCATAATTCCTTCGAAAAAATCAGAAAGAAAATGAAATTTGCGACTTCAGGGGCGTACCAAAATATTTTCTGGTAGGTCGTAATTAAAAGGGGTCATAACTTCGCTATTTCTTCCATACCAAAAAGGAATAAAAATGACCTGCAGGGGCGTACCTAATCATTTTTTTGCAGGGGTAAAATATAAAAATTCCCAATTTCATAATTCCTTAGATACCAACTGAGGAAAACAAATTTTCGAGTTCAGTGGCGTAACAAATAATTTTCTGAAGGAGTCAAAAATCAAAAGATTTGAGACTACAGGAGCATAACTAATTATTTTCTAGAAGGGTTGGAATTGAAAAATGACCTATTTTCGTAATAACTACGATACAAATGAGAAAAAAATTTGACTTCAGGGGCGTACCAAGAATTTTCCTGGAAGGGTCAACATGAAAAAATCTTAATTCCTTCGATATTAAACGATAGAAACAAAACTTGCGAGTTCAGAGGCGTACCAAATCATATTCTGAAGGGGTCAAAAATGAAAAATCGGGGTAAAAATTGAAAAAAAGCAAAAATTAGAGAAAAATATCGCAACTACCGAAAATGGAATTTACCTGACGAAAGTCGGCCCTGACGCCACTTGCTGCCCCCCACCCTGGCCCGTCCAAAAGTTGTACGGCGACGTCGGACTGTCGAGGTCGTGTCGCGACTCCTGTCTCGCCAAATGGCAAGCGGCGTCGCGTATTTCGGCGGCCGCCGCGACGCCTACAACCTTCTCTAGTTGCGCCACCACTTCCTGTTTGCGTTGGTGCAATTCGGCCAGGCTCTTCGTGGCAGAAGAGGGTTGGCGGGGTGGTTTTTGTTGCTGTTGCTGGTGTTGGTAGGGTTGGTTTTTGTTGGCGATCTGCCGGAAAACACGGGATTCCATATTTTTTTGTTACTTCAATGAATTTATGAGTGGCCTGTATTTCTCGAGATACCCATGTATGTACAGGGTATCCCATTTTGGGTGAAACAGCCAGGTATCGGTTTTCGCGGTCTTGTACCACTTTTTTGTGAAACTCAAGATGACCTAATCACATTTTGCTGATTAAATACACTCAGATGCAAAAAAAACGCAACAAGTCAATATTCGGTCAAAGTCTCATAACTTTTTAATTTTCGTTCCGATTTCCATAATTTTTCAACAAACTGTAGATGAAAAGACTGATTTCAACTTGTATATCCAGTCTTTTGTTAAATGCTGGCGGTTTAGTCATTATACAGGGTTAATTGAAAGGTTGTTGTGCAACCCTAATTTCAAAACACCCTGTGGAATAATTTCGTAACCAAATTCTTTCAAAATTCCATTTTTTGTTATGTACCATTCCTTCTTTACATTTTGACTTTTGATCCATGTCTTTGAAAGCACTTGTTCATTTTCAAGAGCAAAATTAACCTGTCACAACAGTTTACTCTAAGAAATGTTATTTTTTGATGAGGTGACTTCAATCGTAGTTGTCCTTATGTCAAATTGACAGTGATTGTTCACGCAAGACCTTTATCAAAGTCACTAAATTGAAAAATCCAATCAATACAATACAATCCAATCAAAACCCGCAGAACTCACCATGACGTCCCAATTGGAAGGCCTCTTGACCACCTCCACCTGTTGCTGGTGATGCACGTCCCCATCGTACCCACCAGGGGCCGGCTGATAATAACCCCTACCGTTGGTGGTTAATACTACGTTCCCACCCTGCGTGTAAACCTGAAAAAAATTGTAAATTGTATAACGAGAACAAAATGATTGTGATTTCCAACGAGAATTAAGTTTGCAGCATGAGCCATCGGAGGATGCTGCAATCATTCGAGTTTAGATAAATAAATAGTTCAGCGGCGCAAGAGACAATAATCAAATAGTCGTTACAGCTGAACCGATAGAAAAGCCCGCTCTTTGGTGAGAGGAAGTGAAGCATCAGCTTATTGATAAAATAAAAAATACGTATACAGGGTGGGGCATGAGTGTGTCGGTGACGACAGTGATTTTTTCGGTATGTCAACCTGTATCCTTTGATAAAACAACTTATGTTGAAGCCAAACCTTCCCTGTTGCCTACTATCATGATGACTTCAAGGATTATGATCAGCCCCGTGGTGTTCATTATGCCTATTGAACAATCCAGCACTAGTGACATAAAATATTTGAATTACATTTTCAATGATATTTTATTCTCCAACTTTGGTTAATATATACAGAGTATCATTTTTAACCAATATTCTGCCTCTTTATAGCATTTTCCCGAGATGTCGGTGATTCCATAGCTGCTGGCGAGCAGTGTTATCACTGGAGATGATCCCACTTGATCCTCAAGTGTATCATTGGCATCTCTCTCACAGCTGCAAATGTCGGAATCCTACCTCAATGATTATTACGGAAGATACAGAGGTGCAAGCATGAGAAATGTGACACATTGAGTATATTTTTGCGAATATTTCTGAAGTTGTCGAAGAAAAAGGTAGGTTAATATATATATTTGAATATGGAATGCCTAGGACTATCCAACTGTGCCAAAATATATGGGGTGTTCCATTAGAAAAAAAAATAATTGACTGCCGTATCTTCTTGATGTCACCCTGTATAAAATTTCTGATGATGCCAATGGATTCTACGCATCATTCTATATGGATAAAAATTTGAAATTTTTCAACGTCTCTCTTCATGAAGTACTCAGAAAATAAAAACCAAATCGGCAATTTTTCAATTTACCCCTGTATCTCTGAAACGAATGAAGATATCAAAATTCCAATTGTACCATTCGAGGTTTCTCTAAAATCGAACCCGTAACATGTATATCGATTTTTTGATAACTCCTCAGTTACTGAGATAGCTTATGAAAACGTCCAATTTTGCCCACCCTGTAAAATAATCTCACTCCCCCCCATCATACCCCCTGGTCGATTCGAAAGTGTCACTCACCTCGTGCACCGGAAACCCCGCCGCGGGCTGCCCTCCCCGATACACCGTCTGCCCTCCGAAAGCCTGCCCCGGCGCGGCGAACGCCGCTCTATACTGCCCCGCCTCCAAGGGCAGTCGCGACACCATGGGCGGGTGGGCGAAAAAGGCGGGCGGTGGTTGGGCGCCCGGCGACGCAGGCGGATGGTAGTAGTCCTCGGTGGAGGAGGAGGAGGGGGAGGCGTAGGGGGGCTGTGTGGGGGTGTCGATGGGGGATTGGGAGTCTGCCGCGTGTTGAGGAGCTTGTTGTTGTTGTTGGGGGTCTTTGGTCCTAGTGATCGTTTTTCGGTTCTGTAAAATAAACGACGAGGAGTTGAATCACAAATAGTTCTTTCGTCGACCGTCGACCTCTACAAAAAATTACATTTCACGTTCTAACATCCGCTACAGGGTTGCCATTTATACTGAATTTTCAATAAATCTCCTGATTTGCATATCATCCTACTGATCTACTAAAACATATAACATAATCTAGTAAAAATATTTTGACACTTATTTATTATTATAATAACCTATATTATTATCAATCTTTAGTTAATTATGAGATGCTTTAGTTGTGTGTGTTGTGTTCTCTATTATCTGCAGTAAGTATTCAATCCAGGAAATTCATTCCATATTCTGATTGAAATGACAATCAGAAATATTCTTGCACTTGTCATTCAGAAATAAAGAATTTATACGTAAGTTCTCCGATGATTACGCTACGCGTTTTCCCGCTTTTTACATGTTATGAAATATCGCGAATTTCAATAATTATTTAAAAAAGTTACAAGAGCTCTGAGGAGAAAACGGTTTACGACAGTGAACTACTAAGGGTTAGTACTTCGAAATAATGAAATAAAATTTTTCACTAAAACAGGTCCATTATCAATGGGGAAGTTTTCCATATTGAGGTTTTCAACTAACTGTGAAGTTTGTAAAAAATTAATATACAGGTATTTTTTCTCTTTTTCGTAAGATCAAATTTCACTAAAGAAAAATAAAAGAGGAACTTGGCTCCTCCACCATTCCTATGACTTACTTTCCGAAAATCCACATTCACACAGAGTTAAAATACGATTCTCTGTGCCAGTACTGCCAGTACGACGTTACCGACATCATCAATATGTCTAGATTTCCGGAAACTGTTCTTTGAATGCATAATAACTATATCATAATAGCAATGGGATATAATAGGTCCTATCCTACTTTGTCAAGTATTATGAATAATTCCCATAAATCTCTCATTGGCTGAATGAATTTCCTACTAATAAAGATAAATTATGATATTTTGCGATAGTATCTATAATTTTTCACTATCGTTATATTACAATATGTTATTCATAACTTGTCAGTTTTTTTTGCTAATGAATTCGTTCCTTAATAAAACGGATCTATTTTCTAGGAAAGTTGCAGATTATATCTTGCAACAGCGCTTAATACTTCCGTCCACACCACTCAAAATACTGACAGGCACAACAAGAGGAATGAGCCATGGGTGTCGGCTTCATTTTGTTCTGACCGATGGCAGTATATTAGGAAGGATAGTATCATTGAATGTAGCCGATAGTAATCATATTTTCGTTTAGGATCGAGCTCTATTCGAGATATTTCAACGCATAGATAACAAAACCATAACCTAAAAGAATGAGGCCAACAACCTTCTGCATTCCTGTTCCGAGTGTATTTGTGGTTATGTATGTTTTTGTTTACCGGTTTAACTTTTTCTTCTATGGGTTGCGTGCAAGAACTGTCAGATGACCGACACTGGAGGCAAAACATTGAAACACAACGTCACTTTTCTTATTTGTTTACAAGTGATAGAAATAGTTTTTCACAATTATTTTGGCATAGGAATCGTATTTTTCCGCTATTCATCAATTCGCTCATGCCATCACATTATGCTGTTGTGAAATGCACAAAAACTGCAGCGGAAGACGAAGTAATCCGGTTGGTACATTATGATTAAAAGTAAGTACCCACTATAGTCACTCACATATAGTTTTCATTTTTGAAATTTGGTAATTTCTCTGATTTCTCATCGGAATTCCTTCTGCGATAGGAGCTAATAGCAATACACCTGAAATGTCTAGAAGATGCAAGAAGATTGGGTACATGCAATCAATCGGGAGGACTGGTCTGACATGCTGACGATCGTGTGTGTTGTAAACATTTTCAATCTATTAGCAGTATTAGCTTGTATTGCAGAAGTGGCAGAAGGCAGAAGGAATTTTAATAAGGAATGACAACATTTCATAATGATAACTATTTGAGATTACTATTTACCTGAAGAATCATTTTCTTGAGTCTCTTGCTGCATTTTTTGTGCATTGTACAACAGTACAATGCAAAGGCATGCTTGAAATAATGAATAGCGCAAAAAACACGATTCGTATGCCAAAATATTGTGAAAAACTATATCAATCCTCTGATTCCTTTGTAACCAAATAAAAAAGTGAGGTTGTGTTTCAATAATTCACAGAAGAATGCGGTTGTATTTCAATATTTTGCCTCCAGGGTCGGTCATCGTGCACGCGACCTATTCTTTACATTCGTTAGCTATTCGCTAGCTATATTCTTCACCATCAGCTATTTTCAGACTAGAAATTGCTTTAATTCGCAAATGAAAACGACTTGGACTTTATCGTTCGCCATTCTGAACAGCGTGGACATGAAACTGGAGAGTTCCGAACTTATTTCATGAAAATTCATCTGAAGGAAACTTCCCCATTCTCGCATGCAGCAGCGTCACCAATCAAATTCGAATTTGCATCGAACTTCCCATCTAGAAAGCAAAATACAAAAAAAAACCCAAACCGACCTTCGCCCTGTACTTCTCCAACTCCTCGCTGGAATGGGCGAACGTGCAATTCGTGCCTCTCGGACAACTCCCTCTCAACGTCAGGTCTCTGCACATGCTGATCTTGTATTTGGCGTGCTGAGCGTGCTGAGCATCCTGGACCTTCCTGCTGCCGTGCTGATGGACGAATTCGACGAGGCCCGCCACCACGCTGCGGACCGCCTCCAGACATTCCGAGCATTCCAGCCATGATGGGGGCGGCGATTCTGGAAAGTGAACGTGGATGTTTTCTTTTTCCCCGCCGGTTTTATACTTCCTCAAGTTTGAATTGGAAATACTGTAGAACCTCGATTATCTGGCTCAGCTGGGACCGAGCCTTCGCCGGATAATTGAAAACACGGATAATCAAAAGAGCTTTTATATTTTAATACATATGTACTTTGGACAAATGAATGTGTCAAACGAAGAGAATAAAACCTGATACTACATACATAAAATAAAAAAGTTTCAATATTCATACATTATGTATAAACGTATGTACGTAATCGTTGGACAGGGATCCTGAAATTTGCTGTAAAAATTATTTGGAAGCCGCCATCTTGAATTTTTAAATTTTAACAAAAAAATCATGATCTCCGACCTCAAAAACCCCCACTTACCAATTTTGAATGGAATCGGACCAAATCTTGTCCGCCATCTTGAAGCAGCCATTTTTTTTATTTCAACAAAAATTCCATAATGTATTGTCACCAAAATTATGAACACCTGCCAAATTCCAAATTAATCGGAGTTATGGAATTTTTGTTGAAATTAAAAAAATGGCTGCTCCAAGATGACGGACAAGATTTGGTCCGATTCCATTCAAAATTGGTAAGTGGGGGTTTTTGAGGTCGGAGATCATGATTTTTTGTTGAAATTTATAAATTCAAGATGGCGGCTTCCAAATAATTCGTTGTTTTTGTATAAATGACGAAAACTCCGTTGTTATCAACACAAAACTATTACTGTGACATATCATCTGTAGGAGAAAAAAAAAGTTATTTGTAAATAAGTCATAGTGAGCTATGACCTACATTTGAAAAACTAAAGTTGTTGCTGATATCTCAAATTCTAGAAGAGTTGATATAAATTTAATATTTTTTTCGAAATCACTTTGAAAAACTGCCACGCGAATGTGAAATTCCTATTTGAATATTTTCATAAATAAAGAAGTTACGGAGGAGACATGAAAATGATCAAAATCTGTTTTTTACGTATAAAACAAAAAAGAATAGATTTTATCAAAGTATTTTTTCACATTATAGTTGGCCTTGACAAACTCCACATTTGGTGTAATTTAACCGACCTCGTATCTCTCACCGTTAAAAAGATACCCATGGTGAGCATGGTAAGTGGGACACACTGTATACAGAGTGAAAAGAATCACTCACTGCACCGATTGGATTGAAATTTTATATGGACATTTCGATGGTTTCCTGGATGACTTAAAAATACAATTGGACGCGGTAGGTGGAGCTGCTGTCGATACGTCAACTACTAAAGGGCTTGACCGATTGGATTTCAATTTTTAATACGTAAAACAACAAAAACAATACAAAGGATACTGGGAGAATGAAAACAGGTGTAAGTATATAACAGTAGCGATAGGTAAGCACAAAAAAAATAACAACAAAATAACAAAATATGTACTGTAGATACGCGCATAGCTCAGAACGATTGCAACAAATGTCTTTTTTTACACCTAAATTCATATGGAACAGTATAAAATTGTGAATAATCATTTTTAAATCGGGAATAAGAACACATTCAAATTGAGAATAATCACTTCCAAATTAGAATTGGAAACTTTGAAATTGAGAATGATAATTTTCAAATTGGGAATAATCACTCCAGGAATTGAGAATAATCACACCCATATCATAGATCTAAATATATGGAACAATTATTTCGAATTGTGAATAATAATTTTTGAATTGATAATAAGAAATCATAAAAATTGAGAATTATCATTCCAGAATTGAGAATAATCCTCGGAATAATCCTATCCACGCATTTCACCAGAATATCTTTACCACAACTAATTTCTAATATGATAAGACAATTCCTAGAGAATTTTGATATGGCTTTATCAACTGATAAACCATAACCTGTTGTTGGTTTGGAAATGAAATTATTTGACCAGTGACCACTTTATCTAAATATTCAGAAGATCTATCTCAAACTGTATCCTGCATGGAAAAGTAATGATTCATGGAAATTTCAATAGAATCTTATAAACAATACAGTGGAATATTATTTGTTTTTAAATTCCATTGAAACCCATTCCACCCTTGAAAATAATGTTAATGCATGATGATAATAATTATTAATTGGTTCTCAATAAAATGAACTGAGGAATGATTCTTCGGTTTATATTATTCTGAATTTTACACTAAAATATCTACTGGTTCACACAGTTCACATTTTTGTTCAAAATAATTGGAATATTACCTGACATTGAGAATAAAAACGGTCAAGTGTGAGTTGTAATCGTTGAGATTATTTCAAAGAAGTCAAACACAAGTGGTATTTGCCAAGATTATTTCCCGAATATCTGTTCAAAAAATCGAAAAACGAGTGGTATTCGCAGGGATTATTTGAAAAATTGAAGAACCCACCTGGACTAGGATCTATGGCCGCCAGCAGCTCCAGACGACTTCTGAGAACGGAAAGGTTCCCAGGATCTCCAGTTCTTTGCGACTTGTGAATGGTATTCGCCGAGATTATTTCAAGGATCGTGTTTCTTTTTTCAAAAAACGTCATGTACGAATAATATTCAACGAAATTATTCAGAAATGGACATAATATCGTCAAGGACGAGTAATATTTGTCGAGAATATTTCATGAATCGTTATTTTTTTCTAAAAAAAAACGCCAAGGACGAGTAGTATTTGTCAAGATTATTCCAGAAATCGATGTTAGTCCCCAAAAAACGTGTAGACAAGTGGTATACGCCGAGATTATTCAGAAAATCGTTAAGTACGAATGGTATTTGTATATTATTCAAAAAATAGTCAACCACGAGTGGTATTTGCCAAGATTATTTGAAAAAATAGTAAAGACGGAGTGGTATTTGCCAAGATTATTTCCCGAATATCTGTTCAAAAATCGAAAAGCGGGTGGTATTCGCAGGGATTATTCAAAAAAATGGAAAAACCCACCTGGACTAGGATCTATCGCCGCCAACAGCTCCAGATGACTTCTGAGAACAGAAAGTTTCCCAGGATCTCCGGTCCTCTGCAAAGCTATCACCCAACTCCTGCACCGATACTTTGCATGTGCGACTTGTGAATGTTATTCGCCGGGATTATTTCAAGAATTCTGTTTTTTTTTTTCAAAAACCGTCATGTACAAATGATATTCGACGAGATTACTCACAAATAGACAAAATATCGTCAAGGACGAATAATATTTGTCAAGAATATTTCATGCATCAATATTTCTTCTGAAAAACCGCTAAGGAATCCCAGGAATTGACATTTTCACCAAGAAAAAGTGTAGAGGCGGGTGATATTTGCCGATATTATGTGAAAATCAGCAAGTGCGAGTGGTATTTGTAGAGATTATTTGAAAAATAGTCTACCACGAGTGGTATTTGTAGAGATTATTTGGAAAATAGTCAAACACGAGTGGTATTTGCCGAGATTATTTGAAAAATAGTAAAGCACGAGTGGTATTTTCAAAGATTATTTCCCGAATATTTTTCCAAAAACTGAAAAAACGAGTGGTATTCGCAGGGATTATTCAAAAAATTGAAAAACCCACCTGGACTCGGATCGATGGCGGCCAACAGCTCCAGATGACTTCTGAGAACGGAAAGCTTCCCAGGATCCCCGGTCCTCTGCAGAGCTATCACCAACTCCTGCACGGATTGGGCGAAAGATTGCGGCGTCTGCAGCTTGTCGATGATGCTTTGCATGTGCGACTTGTGTGCCGTGTCTCCGTATAAAAGGGCCGACCATTGATCGGGGGCTATCCGAAGCCCAGCCTCGGTGGCTATTTGGACGATTTGGGCGTCGTGTTCGCGACGTAAAGCGTCGTACGTGCGGAATTCTTCTTTGAGTTGCATCAGCGAGGAGTCGCCTTCTCGTTTTGATACCTTCAACGAGAAACGAAAAAAAAAAGTAGTTTAAATGAATTTCGAATTTATGAAATTAAAAAGTTATAAAGTCATACATTTCACAGAAATAGTTGAAATGAAGAAAAAATATCGATAATCTTTTAACCCTACTATTATGGCAAAGCCAGAAAGAAGTATTATGGTGGTGTGGTGTTATAGTAGCGATTTCCTCTTGTTCTAGTCTTGATATTTATTTCAAGGTTATTTTTTTTACTTACTTTGTCAATGAGATTTTACATCTTTAGACAATAAAGCATATTTCTCTATCTCTCTCTCTCTCTCTCTCTCTCTCTCTCTCTCTCTCTCTCTCTCTCTCTATGATCAGGGTTGCAATGATTTAAATCAACTGATTTTTTCAATAGAGCAATGTCTGCTGACGTCACAACATGGCGCATTCGTCGTTTTCATCAGCTGATCGGGGGACAAACAAAGCTGTGTGTGAATTTTGATTTTATTTTTTCTGACCCAATTGTTGTAAAAAAATTGTAGGTATATTAGAGCTGAACTCAAGTAAATCCAGTAATTTAAAATTGACAAATAAACCAATTTGAACTCTTCTTTGGACTCATTCACTTCTCACACAGGATTCATAATGAATGAATTAACAAACATGTCAATAAATAAATGCTCCAGGTATTGTATTTTAGTGGTAAATGTGCAAGAAAGTTACATGTACCCCTATGGAAAATGTCTATACTTGTCCCCCCCCATCAGCTGTTCAATGGCCGACAATTTTCATACGTCATATGACGTCACTGACAATGCTCTATTGCAATCAGGATTGGAATAAAATTATAAATTGCTGTAAAACAAGTTGCCCAAGCAGATAACTCACCAGGAAACTAAAATAAGGAGATTTTGACCTGTATCACAAAAACAAAGCAGGCTATGAAAATTTTGTTTGGGATATCCTGAGTTTCACTGAAAAGTCGCCGACGTTCGTGAAAACCGCAATCTCTATCTTCATAAATAAGTGAGATATCCCATAAGGACATTGAAAATGGGACATCCTGTAGAAACATTATATGAGTGCCAAAAAATAACTAATAATAATAATCATCAGGCCAACGTAAATATTTATTCAACCTGATTCAACAGCACATTATAAAGAGGAAAGAATTTTTTTGTTGGGCCAAGGCAAGCTGTGACCTTTTTATTTCCAATTTCAAGGAAAACATTTGTATGAATGAAAAAACTCATGATTCAGATGAAAAAAGTCAGTTATTATTTAAAAAAATATTGGTTTATTGTTTCTCTGGTTATGTTTTTCAGCAGTCTAATGTACCAATATATTTAATCAACTATATTTCCGTTTTCTAATTACGTTTTCACAAGCATGTTTATACATAAAATATAAAATAACCATTGTGAATAGGATACAATTTAAAATACAAATCTAGACAATATTCATCAAATGAAATATGTATATTTCACTTGATTGAATAAATAAATGAACAATTAGCCTCCCAATTACCATGAAAAATAGAACAACATTTTTATTAACTTAAAATTTATTAGATTAGATTCCATACTAGTGATGAACATTTAGAAATTGAAAATGGACCTGTTCAAAAGTGATAGTGATTTTTTAGGATGACATGGGGAAAGCTGTTGAAAAGTAATGCAACATTTCTTCATTTTCAAGAATCAAAATTTTTATTTGAAGATTCTACTTAGCATTTTCAAGCTTTATTCTGGAAATTATCAGCTACAAATTTCTCAAAAACAGTTGCTTGACAGAATAGTATCTTTTTTGTACAATTTCATTTGCAATAATTTTCAGCAAAATGTCAAACAAAGTCACATAAGTGCAAGAAATTATTTTTTTCAACATGTTCAATGCTTTATGTCTACACTTACCTCAAATACTAATGATTTCAATTTCATGCAAGAACTATGTTTATTGATACTTTTTCTCATTTTGACCAGTACTATCAACCTTTAAATTATGTAAATGCTTTTTTAAAACACAGTGTACTGTGATGTAATTTCTCAATAATTTTCATCAGGTAAATAGAATGCTGAAGTCTGCCCTAAAGCAGTGTAGTTTCATTTTTTATATCTGAAAATGTCATATGCTTTTGAAATAAAGATACATATCATGTAAATAAGAACTCAATACAATGTCAGTCAGTATATGAAAAAAAAACATGCAAATCATAATAATCATTTATATAAAGTTCATATATAAAGAAACCAACTTTCTTCTGGAATCTGTTCAGGAATTATGAATTCTCCAATTCTGGCAGTCACAGTAGAAATAAATGAAATTTTGAGTGAAATTACTACACACCTTGAAACAGGAAGCCCTATACAACAGCTGAACAACATGCCCAATACTTGTTTTAGAGGCTTGTGGAAAATGTGGCTCCAATCTTTGAACAACAAACATCACCAACACTTTCCTTGATAGTGCTGATCCATCCTCCAATGCCAACAATACCAGTTTCAACACTTCCTCTTGCATAGCTAAAACCAAAGGAATAACTATCATCTTTATTGCTCCTCCACCTTGATTTGACCTAGCTAATGATGAATATTTTTCATCAAGAAACATGCATATTTTCCCACTCTGTAAATGACTCACCTGGCCCCAAGAACTGACATCCTCTAGCTCTCACAGCAGCCCACAAATTAGCAGACAGCTGCTGAGGATTCTGATGTTGCAAAATAAGTTCTGTGACAGTACGTTCCCCCAAAGACCTAGCAGCTCTCATAGCCCTGGTCCTCCCTTCATCCTCAACTAACTGGCAATTGATAAGAGTGACTAGCTTCCTTTGCATGGGTCTGGACAGGGTTGGATTGACCCCACACACATTCCCATTTGGGTGAGGTTTCAGGTACAGTGCCAGGTCTTCCACGCATTTTTTGCAGTCCAAATAGCTCTCCAGGTGTTCTCTTGGCACTACCTTGCAGTCAACTTCCTCCTCTTCAGTTCTGATGATGGGTCCCACTAGTTGCAGTAGAGCTGTGTTGATGGGCAGATTGTCGATGTCAATGCAGACGTTGGTCTGGTCAAAGGGGCATTGTTTGCGATGCAGACTGGACAGACAGCCCCTGCATATCGTGTGGCCGCAGCCGAGACTGATGGGGCCGCGGGATTTCTCATCGAACGGGTGACAGCAGACCGGACAAGAAAGAAACTCGGTCCATTGCGGTGCCTGTATTGGCATTCTGAAATACGAATTCACCATTTTATGCTATCATCATCGAATGCTGTTGTCACAATCAGGTGATGACACTTTCTCATCGCCAATGTGGCAATTGGCAAAAGTGTACCCCTTTGTTTTTCGGTGGTGGACAGCTGGTCGAGCTCGGATTTTTGGTGGTCACGAGTGTCAGCGGTGCTAGGAGAGAGCTAAAGTAGTTACCTTGATTGTTTCTCTGGGTGTATTCACATTGTGGAGCACTGCAGCGATTGATGATTCACAACATTTGTTGTGAAATCAGTGAAATCGCCTTCTCGAACATCTCACGTCACGACAGCGACGTCACCGAATGTCAAACACATGTCACATTTTGCACAGATTGTCATTGTCAAAACACAACACAGAACACGGGAATACAGTTCATGATTGAGTTCTGTGGCTGCAGCGCCACCTGCTATCTGCCTATGAAACGGCTTAACGGTAACCATGACTTTCGGTACAGATACCATCCAGTGACTCTAGTTCTAATTGGTCTAAAAAGGCGTCCTTACCGGAAGTCATGATTATTTAAATTCTTGCTAACGGCGATGGCCGTGAAGTTCACATGTTCAAACATAGATGTCGCAGACAATGTAAGAAAACCTGTAGATGTAGATATAATAATCGTTGATTGATATCCCAGCGTTAGCGTAATATATCAATCCATCAATCAACGGTATAATATAATGACTGGAGAATAATGGATGTATAATAGATAGGCAAAATGAAGATTGTAAAACTAACCAGTCTCTTGCAAATATATCAGTTATCTGCTATCTATTTCAAGTATTTCAAGACTACTTTCAACCAAAATAATGATGATTGTAGAGTGAATCGACCGTTGAGGGCGCTGTTTTTTAAAGAAAAATGGACGTTACATCAAGAAAAATTTGTTGTTTTGCATGACTATTACTAATTGAATGGTCAGTTGTCAGTTGTGGTTGTGACTTTTGATGATCTGTTATGGCCTCAGACAATCTAGTGACTAGAATCAATCACACGTGTTGATAAACTGTTTCACTTTATTTTCATATTGATATTCATGTTCCATGGAGATCTTCAGATATATCTGATGGAAAATATACAGCATCAACAAAACATCATTGTTTTGGAGCAAAATAATAATACCTATTCGCGATAGAAAATAATAACACGTCGCCCTACCTGTCGGTAACAGCTTGAATACTTCTGAGCGGTTTGTTTTGATGATATGACGAATGAGCGTTGACGAAAAACAAATGTAAACCAATCAAAACAAAGTAAACAAGCCGCTTTGACAGCTTTCAACAACTCCGATAGGTGGCGTAAGCTTAATTTCTATCGCGAATACCTATCTGATGACTCCCTTTGTGCATTCTTATGCAATTGGTTGGAAACCTCCATATAAAAGTATACTCGGTATGCATATCTCGTGTATATTTGACCATTAAACTAAACGAACCAAAACACTTGTACCGAGATCCATATCACGCCATATTCACGCCGTGAAAGGTCAAAAAAGTCACCCCGGCGGCGACAGTAACAAAAACAAAACCAACACGTCGATATCTCCATCAGCCAACTCTCCTTTTTCTTTTTTCTCTCTCTCGCTTTTTATTACGGCAGCCAACACTGGCGAGCGAACGCGTAACGATTATTATTCACCGAGAGTGTTATGCTCCTTTCCTCTTTTGTGTAAGTTTCGAGATGTCTGCCCGATAACAGCGCTTATCTATGTCGAGTGGGCTGGCCAACGTCATGCTTGTCGCGTTCTTTTTATGTCTTTATCTGGTCGCGGGGTGCCTGGAATAATGAATAATAAAGAGTTATGGATGGGTCGGAAGGGGATCAGTGGCAGTCCACTGAGGCATAACCTTAGCCCATATATGTCCATAATAGACATTACGAATATCCATTGGACGTTTGATTATGTCCAGAGGGACATTCAATGGATATCCATGGGATATCCATTTGCCCCAAAATTGACATCCAATGGTTCGATCTGCAGAATTACCTCCCGCGGAGTATATACGAACGTTACTCTGAAACACTCTGTATTTTCCGGCCATAACTGTTTTTTTGACGACCTCTACAAAAAATCACATTTTTCCTGTGACGGGAAAAAAGTTTGGCATTTCATCTCTGTTGGCAGGTTATAAAAGTACATGATGTTTTGACGTCGTGTATAGTTGTTCGAAAGGGCACTTGCATGACTTGGAATTCCAATGTTACTAGCGGGAACGCAAGTATACTAACTTCACGAATGCTAAGATCGAAATGACGCCGTGGACTCGTGGACATTGGACAGTGATCGCGTTGGGCGTGAGTACTCGAATAATATCGAAGATGTCCGAACGGAAAAGAGATCTATAACTACAGTAGGTGAGCTGTCACCTGAAACAATCGACTTGATAGATTGTCTTTATTGATGATTTCGCTCAGAGCAAGTGATCTTATGTCAGAAAAATAATTTAATATTAGTGAGTATTCGTTAACCTAGCACTAGTTTGGTGTTCACTTAGAATCAGCGAACTCTAAGTACATATCGACTTGGTTGATACCAACAAGTGTTCTGATCACATACATCAGCAGAAACTTCGTTCCAGAAATATAGTTTTGCCTACTACAAGTACCATATTTTCCTACCGTTGGTGAAAATGTTCTTGTCACAATCGACTTTTTTTCAAGAAAACAATTTACTTGGCCGAGTTTTCTCAGTGTGAGTTTATTTCATTATCCTTTCGTGTAGCATAAAATAGATATCTGAATTTGGGACATAAATAACTATTTCGTGGCTATAGTCTTCCAGTTGTATAGGTATCCTTGTGTCTTAGCTTCAAAGATTCTTATAGCCTCTAGATGCTTCTGTTCTACTTTTTAGGTATACTTCCTCTGATAGATTAATGGTGAATTCATGCACGACGTAACTTAGTCCTCACTCAACTTAACCCTATATAACTTTAGGAAGTTGAAATTCGAATAATAGATGATAAAGTTCTTGCACGCAACTTAAGGATTTAAGTGTAATTTAAGAAAGTCATAAGTTGGCCAACTTTCAACTTAAATTCGTGCAAATCGCGTACTGCGCATGGTCAAGCCCAACAGAAATTGGAAATAATTAGGTTTAATAGGTAATCCATAATCTCAAACACTCTGCTCAAACTCTCAACTAATTTTTCAAAATGTTTAAAATATTGTTATTTTGTTTATAACATTATGGTTGACGACAGTGAACTCATCAGTTTAGTACAGCAGGACTCCTTCATTTACAACAAAACAGATCCCAAATATGTACATGATTCTGCATATTTACGTTAAGTTGTGTATGAACAGCTATGGATAATTTTTAAGGCAATATTGAGTTAGCTCTTAAGTTAGGACTATAAAGTTAAGTCGTGCAATTACTGCTGCTGAGTTATGTTGTGATGATACTTTCACTGCTGGGTATACTCTGGGTTGAAGATAATAATATAAGATGTTAAATGAAGAGTCCACTGTCCAGTGTATTTTATTCTTTTTCCCAAGGTTCTCTAGCAACTTCAGACAATATTTCAGATCAGAATGATATACCTACCAAAGTTCAGAGATGAATTTGGTGAAATTTGAGCTAATCAGTTCAGGAAAAAATACTTAGCACTCTTAGCAGGGTGCGAAAAATCCTAACATGGAAAGTCGTCGCTCTCGCGATACCATCCTTGGAGGGCGTGGTTTTATCCCCTCCCCCTCACCGATTGGTCACATGGTCGACAGGTGCGCGGATCGAGGCAGCCGCGACCGTCTGCCCCTCTATCTGTGCTGATTTGTTACCTGTCGACGCGGATCATCGCGTCTTACTGCTCGTTGATATCTCTATATCAATCTGATGGTCCATATTATTTACCTTAAAATGTCTTGATTTATCGAAGACTGGAACCTCTGGCACGATAATACACTACACACTGTTTTACCACTAACGAAAACGAAACTGAGTTTTGATCTTCTCCTGAAGGCAGATCGCTTCACGTGGTGGTGGACGGTGTATCGTCTGATACCATTGGCATCAATTCCGGCGTTCCACAAGGATCAATTTTGGCACCAACATTATTCCTGCTTCATATCAATGATCTGTTGGGAGTAACAACTTGCCCCATCCACAGCTTTGCAGATGATAGTATACCCTCCATACTGCGTTCTCTTCCAGAATTCCCATTTCTTCCCAGGAAACTGAGAACTCACGGCGCAGGCAGGTCAATGCTGTCAATGAAGATCTTGCTGAAATCACAGCCTGGGGAACAAACAACCTAGTTGAATTCAACGCCACCAAAACTCAAGCCTGCATTTTCTCTAGAAAGGCGGAACTCAGTATGCCCGATATTGTAATGTCTGGCTCCACCATCCCCACCAAGCCCACCATATCTATGCTCGGTATTTCCATCAGGAACACTCTTTCATGGGATAATCATGTCAGATCCATCGCAAAAGCTGCTTCACAAAAACTCGGATTCTTGTTCCGTGCGAAAAGCTACTTTACACCTCAACAGCTTCTCATGATCTACAAAGCGCAGATACGGCCTGTTCTAGAATACTGTTCCCACAGTCATTCACGTCATTCCTTGTAGTGAGACGGAATGGAAATCAGCAACCGGATTGGCAAACGGAATCGGAAGAGTTGCAAATAAAACGACACAATTGAAAATAGAGCCGAAATCGAAGAGGCGAGTCCGTCAGGACGAGTGGTATCATTGCCACAGATTAACAAAAGGTTTGTTAATCTGTGGTATTGCTGTACGGCTCAACTTGTGTGCGTGGAGCAGTTCACCAACTCTCTTGTTGAACCAAAGAACACAGTTGAAAGGTCATTTTGTGGTTTCCAAAGAGAAATAAAATAACGTGAGCGCGGCTGTGTCTAACGTCATAATCAAAACACTCTTCCATTCTTCATCTCCGCGTGATACCAACTGAAACACACGGTTTTCCTCCCATAGTCCATACCATCAGATATCTTCACCAAGAATCATGAAAGGTATACAGGGTGTCCGAAAAGGTCA